GGTCCTGCCTATACACACAGAGATTTTCAGTCCAAGACAATCACAGAACACTGAGGACAAGTTCTTAGTGACAACTAGAAAGTATCTTTTTTGTTGATAATAATTGTACTTTCATGAGCAACTAAGGAGCCAAGGACCATTTGGCTTTTTATAAACTTGGTCTGTTTCCCTTGGAATTAGGGTTGAATCCCTGTAAGGAAGCCAAGGTAACTGCTTTGCTTTGAGTGACAGAGTTGCTGGAGATTTTACAGAGGGATTATTTGAAAGACCAGCCAAAAGGAACGGTTACAGATCTGTGGCACTGTTCTGCAAATAAAAATATTTGATGTCACTCACAAATAACTAATTTTGGACACCTAAATACTAAGAAAGTTAAAGCAAGCGGAATGCCAATACTATTGGAAAAGTATATGCAGTTCCTAGGTGAAGATTGTTAGGCCATGATCAGAAGACATTCACATGCAAGGCAGTTGCATTCCGTTAGGCCTGCAGAGGTTTTAATGAGATTGATGTTCTTATGTAGATAAGTCCCAAGGAAACAAAATTCCGTGAACTAATCTAGTCTTGATTTCACTAGGGATAAAGAATGCATCTTAACAAAATAAGGAAGGAAAATTTCTTTTTCAGGAAGCTCCAACCATATGTTCACAGATGCTGCCTTGCTCTAAAACTAAGGGAAAGAAAGTTCGAGCTACTTCTTTAAAAAAAAAGTACTAACTTGTTATTTCTTAAAACAGAACAACAAACCCTCCAAAATAGTAAATGTTACCAGAACAATAATAAATAATAGCACAAGTGCCCATCTTAGTCAGTCGTGTCTCACATTGCACAACCGGCAGCCATGTGCTCAGGCATTTCTGCCATGATTGAAGACACATTCCAACATTTATAAACATCCATCACAGATTCAAGTATGCATCTCAAGACTCCAGAACCACAGCCTGCCAGTTGTTGACAATTAGTGACATACCAAGTATTACAGAGACCTCTGCAAGATCTCTGGGTTTGCACGATACAGCTGAAATACTACTCAGTGTTAGAAAGTACCTGGGGTGAAATAACCCTTCAGGAAGCCCAATAAAGAAGAAAGGAAATGTGTCATTTAAAGCCAAAATTACTTTCCTGAAGCATGGTCAAATCATACATGAAATACAATGGCCTTTCCATGCCGGAGAAGTAATAGCTCACTTCCTCTGCACTCCCTGGACCCTCTTTTCCCTTAAGTTTTATTACATGTTTAAGTATACATTACTGGTCATTCCAAGTGCATGAACTTATGACAGACAAAAAGGATCTATTTACCCTATAAAGTGTTGAACACACAATTGGCATAATTTAAACTAAAATTTGCTCCACTTTTAAAGGACACCAGTGCTGTTTTATGTAGTACTGAGAGATTTTCCAGATTAGAACTTCTCTGGGCCTTTTCCATCAGCTAGATATCCACTGGCCACTGTCTTTTTGCAGTTCCATTTATCACTAGCACTACCAACAGACCTGCACTGGGGACATAGATGGAGAGGAAAAGTGTGAGCTGTTTATACTAACAGAAAGCTGGAAGTCCTTGCTAAAGCTGTGCCTAGGGAATTTCCATAGACACAGAATAAATAGAGCCTCTCCAGTTACCCCTACAGTCACCCTTTAACAAGGGCCGTCTAAGGTTTGAGCCAAGGATGGGGTCTGTTATAGGTTGGGCTGGTCCCAAGCAAACTGTGAAACAGATGGAAATTGATTTCCCAAGTGCTCCACCATGCTCCTCACCACACATCGACCGTGGTCTGGAGTGGGGACCAGATCCTTGCAAGCACTCAGCATCAGCCTGAAGTTAAAAATCTCTACTTAACTCACAACTGCTAACAGCCCAAAGTTCAGGTCTGCTCCATGGCATCTGCATTTTAACCAGAATTAAAACTCAAGCAAACTACCTGCCGAGAGACTTAAAGAAAGCTTCAAATGAAGGTAAAGGCCATGTGTGTTCAATTCATGTGTGTATCCCCAGGACCTGACTCTTAGGAGGAGTTCAATAAATATTTGCTAAATGGATGAGTAAATTAGTGAAAGACATTACATGGGATGATGGAGCATAGCCTGCCCTTGGGGTGGTCTGACAAGAAGGGACTGCAGCTCACAGAAGCAGCCCATGCAGGGACACAGAGCTGCCCATCGAGGAGTGAAGAGAAGTGCTGTTTTCAGTGAGTCACTGTCCTGGCCACTTCCCTGCCCCACACACCAGATCTCTAGTGCTGGTGGTCCCCAATTATCTGAAGTTCAGTCCATGAAATAGCTGCTTGGCCTGAGACCAGAAGCTTCCAAGTAGAAAATGTTTTCAACCTCAGGCTCCATTGTGCATTTTCTGGGATGGCATTTCAGGTTTGGGGTTTTTTTGTTATTTTTTGGTTGGTTTGTTTGGTTGTTTTTGCTTTTTGTAAACAGTGCCTTGAGCTGATAAAGTAGCCTGGTGGGCCAGGGTGGCCCTGAAATGCTGAAATGCTTGGCATAATTTGGACCCATTCTCTTGTCTTAAATTGGTAACAAGATCAGAGGAATTTGGATATGTTTAGGTTAGGATTTAGGTCTGCATACTACACATAGACTGACTTCTAATTCCTTCTTTTTTTCTTGTATTATTTAAGTCCACGGACACTTAGAATCATTATATAAACACCTCCAAATAGTGCAAAAAGAGGCAGCACTTGAAGCCAAAGCTGTTGGCTCACATATTCCTCCCCAGGAAAGCCTGGAGAGTTCATATGTCTCAATCCATACCTTCGGCTGGCTTCAGTGTCAGTTTTCTTCATGTTTAAATATAATTATTGACTTTGAACTTCATTATGGATGCCACTGAGTCAGATAGTTCAGTGTATACACTAACTTACTACTAATTCCTGGTGAAGTAGCTCCTCTAACTCTTCTACAGTTTGAATCTTTTTTCCCATCTGTGGTATTTTCCTACAATGGGCTACCCCCCAGTCAGCTACCCACCTTTTCCTCAGACCCTCTTCCCAATCTCAGGGCAACTGAATGTGCAGAGCTGCTTCTGCCCTCGAAGAGAGGCTCACGCACAGAGAGACCTGGGTCAGAAGGGCTGGTTGTTTTCAAGCATCAACAAAAGTCCTCACTAGCAACATTGGAGAAATCTGCTGATGTGTTTTTACCGTAGAAGTGGGTGGAAAGGGAAATTTGCTGCTTGTTCCTTTCATCTTGACAGTGGTTGCTTGTCTTGGATAAAGTAGCAACATTCCTATAAAACTAGCAATTGTGACCCTTGAGATTGAAAATGTATGTAGCAGCTCGGTTTTCCCCAAACAGAATGGTGGGGCAAAATCAACCTACTGAAGGTATTAAGACTGTAGATATTGCTGAGTAAGTGGCAATGTGAGCTACTGGCAGGGATGACATATCCCTTTCCCATGCTTTCCTGACATGCCTGTGGAGGAAAGAAGTGTGAGGACAGGCTCTGGTTTTTCTTTTTCCCTAAAAAGTTAGGTCATATACCTTACCTGCTTCCCTTTGGAGACATTTGGACATATTCAGTATCTATAACTTAAATTTTCTTGTTAGAAAGTGTTATAAACCAGAAATGATGTAGATGTGGAATCACCTGGGAAACCACCATTTTTGCTGGCCCAAAACCCTCTGTACTTTTTTCCCGGCTGGGTAACCTGGTATTAACCCCAAGTGAATGCATAGGTTGGGCTTCAGTCTTTTGTTTCAGGTTCTCAAATTCAAACACAGAGAGTATTCTGTGGCTGGTTTCTTATACTGGTTAAGTGGATTTACTAGTTGTGTTATCTAGTTTTAACCTTCACAAAAGGGACATGTGGCTTAAAAAGACTCCCATACAGGAACCATGGATTAAAGATAGCACCCTAACAATACAGCCCACAAGAAAACCAAACCAAAAAAATGGAAGAGGTAGCACTTTCACAACTTCTACACAAAATGTTTGTTGACCACATTACAAGGTTACAATGTTACAAAGTAGAAATAGTGACAATCTAATTTTATTTGCTAAAGAGTTGGCCCCCCCACCCAAAACCCTTAAAAATTATTAAAATGTCACTGGGAAATAGGGATGAAAATTTACATGTAAACTTGCTATGATAAATCTCACCCTATATTTTGTGCCTTGAACTACTAAGTAATGATAGTATCCTGTGTAGGTAATATATATGTTAACAAAGAATAAATAAAATAAGGAAATGGTAGGGGGATAAATGTTCAAGTTCTTGGGACTCACTGCTCTAGGAAATGGCATCTACTAAGGTTGATGGACAGACAAAGTTTGGTGGTCACAGGTTGGTGGCACATTCAGAGGTAGGGGAGGCCTCCAAGGCCAGGCCAGTCGACACACAGTTTAAGGGGTGACAGAGGCCAATGATGTGGAGAACTTAGAGGACATATTGTACAAACCAGGAGGAGGACAGGAAGTCTCCCTGTCTTTTCAGAGATATGCAGAACTCGGAGTACCCAAGAAAAGTGGACAGAAATTCACCGAAGGAACACGTTTTATCTAGGAGCTGGTTGTAGAGCAATCTGAGTATTATAGGGTCATCTGGCCAGATAGAGGCCTGCTGGGTATAACTAACCCATGCCAGCCTCTCCATCTAGCCCTCGGTGTGGTTCAGCATTCAGAGAACACAGAGAGAGATGTGTGCAGGTTTTGATGTAAACGTTGAGCTTCTTGTATTTAATCATCCTTGTGTGGCCTTTTCTCACTAAAGTTAACAAACTTTAGAGTATCCATTGTTTTCAGGATTTCTGGAAAGGAAGGCCTGTGAGCTCTTTCCAGGACTGCAGCACTCAGGTATGCAGGTTCTTCTCTATAGAAAGGCTCCCTGAAGGGCTGATCTTCCTGGAGGGAACATCTCTTACTAACTCACGCAAAGGCACCTATGTTGACCTGCCATGGCCATGGCCTGTTGTAAATTTTGGCAGAATAAAGCCAAAAGCAGGAAAAAAAAAAAGATCCAACAGACAATACGCTGAGTCTGGTAAATTTTTACTTTGCAGCTGGGAGTGTGGCTTTGTGTAGGACCAGGTAGAGTAGATTCATGTGCATTCAGTTTCATTGTTGTTAGAGAAACCGCTTGAAATCAGATTAGGTGATAGAAGCCCAATGTGAAAAATGTGTTGCAATCACCAAGATCCATCCCAGAGACTGCAGGGATTTAAAAAAAGAAAGAGCACATCGATTTTGTTTTGTGACCACTGACCAAGACTTCTTGAGTTGTTGCACAAGTGCCGTTTGTTTCCAGAAATTAACAAGCTGTGTGTTTCTCATTCATTACCTGCTGTCACTCCTTCCCAAACACACTGGCTTTGGGGTTTTTACCCACCCTGACTGGCTAAAAAGGAGAAGCGTTAGTTGTGACTCAGGCTGGGAAGTGACAAGAGAGCTCGCTGGAGGCTGAAGCGGGTGTCATTTCCCTTTACAAAGTTGGTAGCAAAGTAATCAAACCAAGCAGCGCCGAGGGCCCAGACCAGCTCCTTGGCATTTGGTAGTCCTCTCCATCGTGGTGTGCTCTGGGCTGCAGAGGGCCTGTAAATTGCATGGTAATGGCTGGTTCCTCAGCGGGAATAAACATGTGCTTTGAGTTTTCCAAATGAGTCAGACGCACGCTGCGAGATAAATGCTGATAGCAAGCAGATGTGACGTGTGCTTTTCAAGAGGGACAGACAGGGGGATTGTGTACTGGCATCTTCCACACGCTCTTAGATGATGGACTGACACTTAATGGGGTCTGGTCTCTTAACAAGAAACATTGGATGGTGGGTGATTCCCCCTCCCCTTCCTTCTTTCTGTAAGAGGAATCTACATTTTTAAGCCTTAAATGTAAACGTGTTCTGGCTCCAATTTGTCGGCTGACTCTAATCGCCTCAGAACTTATATAAACTCTAGGTGAGTAATTTCCCCAAGTACAGTGCCCCCTTGGAATGTGTGTGCTGTGAACTCAGATTAAACTTTTAACCTCACATTTTTCTGGGAAGGATTATTATCCATGTTTTTATTGTTTAAAAAAGGCAATCAGAAACTGAAATACGTCTAGTGCTCTTTCTGTGGTTAAGTTGGTACATGCTCTTATGAGCCTTCCTCTTATGCTGTACGTGCTCGGAGATTATGGATACACTTGCCCCCCTAAAAAATCGATGTTGTGCCGGAATTGAAACTATAAGGCACCAACATTCTTGTGTTCATGTGACACTCCCAACTGAATTGTGAACTCTTCATAGGGCTGTGTGCCCTCCCAACTCAACTTAGAAACACTGAGTGTCTTTTTGTGGCTGCACTTCATGTCCCAGTTGCCAAGTGACATACATAACATGTTCTTCAGCAGAACAGGAAGTCTGAGTCCTAGATTTCTGCTACATTCTTCCACCCTTGGCTTTTATCCACCTCATCTCATTTTTCTAGCAATTGGGTCAACAGATGCTAGGCTCTCTGAGAGTGTTTGCTGAACCAATCCCAGATGCCAAGCTTGAAGATACAACATCTCTTTGCTCTCAGTCCTTGTACCCATTAACCACTGGCTCAAACCTTTAACCGAGTCTGGTAGCTCTTCAATAAGGTGTTTTTGTTGTCATTTTATTAGGTTGGCATTGATGTGGAAACAAGTGGATTAGCTTATTCTCCCAGAAGCTTTTGGTTGTTTGTTCTTAGTTTGGATTTGATGACTGTGCAGAAGCAGCTGGCTTGGTCTCCTGGGAAGAACAGAGGGCTGGGAGTCAAGTAGTCATTCTGCTGCCAACTCATTGAATAGCCTTGGGCAAGTCAGAGTATCACAGGGCCTCAGCTTGTCCATTTGTAAAATGGAGGTGTTGGATTCAATGATCTTCCTGTTGAAACAACAATAGCCCCATTAGTTTTACTGTAAGGTTTCAAGGAAACACCAAAGCAAGAGAAAAAAAATAGAAAACCTTCAACATAGCAAGTTATTGCTTACCTATTGAACATTAAAGTGTCCTTATAATATGCTTTGGTGTAAAATTCCACTGTAAACACTGCGATGCTACTTTTGTGTTCTGTTTCATCATCTATTCACAGGGGTTTCAAACTCATTTTCACCAGGGGCCACATCAGCCTTGAGGTTGCCTTCAAAAGGCCAAGATAATTTTAGGATTGGATAAATGTAAGTACTCCTTAACTGTTAAGGAGTTGAAATTATGACTTCTGGCCAAGATGGAGGCATAGGTGGATGCACTGTACCTCCACGCACAACCAAGACTGGAACAACAACAATTTAGAGGCAGAATAACACCCAGAACTGATAGAAAATTTATCTGAATGGAAGTCAGACATCCAAGAAGTTGAAATAGACCTGTTCATCCAGACTGGTAGGAGGCGCGGAGATGAGCAGCCAGGCGCAGATCGTGGTGCGGAGAACAGGGAGAACTGGGCACAGAAGCCAACTAGGAGCACGTAAGGCATCTGGGGTGCGCAAGATCGCAGCGAGTGGACCCTGAGTACGCAAGCGGCAGCTGGCAGACCCAGTGAAGCAGTGATTGTGGAGCAGGGCAGAGCGTGCAACCCAGGATCCCAGAGAGGGGACTGAGGTCCCACAGAGAACGGAGCTACCACCATTGTTCCCTCTCGACCCCACCCTCACATACAATGTCACAATCTAGCGACTGGGGTGCCCAGCCCTGGTAAACACCTAAGGCTCCACCCCTCACTGTAACAGGAGCGACCAGACCACAAAAAAGAGAGAGAGAGAGAGAGGTGGCTCAAACAGAAGAACAAATCAGTGCCCCAGAACTCATCCTTTTGAGTGACCAAGAGATAGCTAACCTATCAGATGCACAGTTCAAAACACTGGTGATCAGGAAGCTCACAGAATTGGTTGATTTTCGTTGTAAATTAGATGAACAAATGCAGGTTACCATAAAAGAAATGAAGGAAAATGCACAGGGAACCAATAGTGATGGAAAGGAAACTGGAACTCAAAACAATAGAGTGGATCAGAAGGAAGAAAGAAACAACTAAACAGGAAAGAATGGAGAAATAAGAATTTAAAAAAATGAGGAGAAGCTTAGGAACCTCCAGGACATCTTTAAACATTCCAACATCTGAATTATAGGGGTATCAGAAGGGGAAGAGGAAAAGCAACAGATTGAAAACATATTTGAACAAATAATAAAGGAGAACTTCCCCATTCTGGCAAAGGAAATAGACTTCCAGGAAGTCCAGGAAGCTCAGAGAGTCGCAAAGAAGTTGGACACAAGAAGAAACACACCAAGGGACATCATAATTACATTAGCCAAGGTAAAAATGAAGGAGAGAATCCTAGAAGCAGCAAAAGATAAGGAGACAGTTACCCACACAGGAGTTCCCATCAGACTGTCAGCTGATTTCTCAAAAGAGACCTTACAGGCAAGAAGGGGATGGAAAAAAGTATTCCAAGTCATGAAAGGCAAGGACCTCCATCCAAGATTGCTCTATCCAGCAAAGCTTTCATTCAGAATGGAAGGGCAGATACAGTGCTTCTCAGATAAGGTCAAGTTAAAGGAGTTCATCACCACCAAGCCCGTATTATATGAAATGTTAAAGGGACTTATCTAAGAAAAAGAAGATAAAAATATGAACAGTAAAGTGAGCAAATTCACAGTTATTAACAACCACACCTAAAACAAAAACAAAAGCAAACTAAGCAAACAACTAGAACAGGAACAGAACCACAGAAATGGAGATCACATGGAGGGTTAGCAACAGCGGAGTGGGAGGAGGAGAGAGGGGGCAAAGGCACAGAGAATAAGTAGCATAAATGGTAGGTAGAAAATAGACAGGGGGAGGGTAAGAATAGTATGAGAAATGTAGAAGCTAAAGAACTTATGACACATGGACATGAACTAAAAGGGGGGAAGTGGGTGGGAGAGGGTGTACAGGGTGGAGGGGAGAGAAGGGGGAAAATGGGACAACTGTAATAGCATAATCAATAAAATATTTTAAACATGCAAAGAAAAAAAGGAGTTGAAATTACATTTGGCCCTTTGAAGGCAACCACGAGGCTGATGTGGCCCCCAGTGAAAATGAGTTTGACACCCCTGATCTAATGGATATTTTGGATGTTTGGCCAAATGAGAAACACACTGTTCTGGCAGTGGAAGAACAAGGGAGGCTGTGGCAGCATCATTTCTACCACAGTGTTTGTGAAATTGATTGAATAATGGTTTCTGGTATTAACATTCCTCAGCATCCATATGCACGTTTACACTCTCCATGCGCCCAAGACACCAGATTGCCTCCCACCCTCCACTTTCTGGATCCCTCTCCTCTATCGTGTGGAATCACAAAACTGAATCAGGTGCACCTTTTTATGTTTCTGGCTTCATTTGATTGCTCTTCTGGTATTAGTCTCATCAATGGCAAACAGCTGGAACTGACCATGTACAAAATGCCATAGGGCAGGCAAATGTTGTGTGGAAAGGAAGGATGTCTGAAGATTTGGGTCTGCTCTGAGGAAGGACTGGTGTGGCCCAGTATTCTAAATGCTGGAAGATACCATCATCTGCACATGTGCCTTCAGCAACCACTGGACATATTTCTATGCAATATTTTGCATAGAAAGCCTTTGCAAATATTAAAATGCATTTTCTTGTCAACCTTGGTAATAAGCATCCCAAGAGTCCTTTGTACTAGAGCTGGAACACAAGTATTCATTGACTCATTAATTTTACAGACATTTGTCCGATCAAGATGGAGGCATAGGTAAATACACTTTGCCTCCTCACACAACCAAAAGAAGGAAAACAACAAATTTAAAAACAATAACCAGAACTGCCAGAAAATCGAACTATATGGAAGTCCCACAACCAAAGATTTAAAGAAGAAACATTCATTCAGACCAGTTGGAGGGGCAGAGACAGGCAGCTGGGGCAAAAAAGATGTGTGGCAAGGGGGTGGCTGGAGGACCAGGGGTCCCAAATTTGCATGAGGATAAACCAGGAGGAACAACTGGGGACCAAGATAAACAGCCTAACACAGGGTTCAGTGCCGGGAAGAAAGCCTCAAAACCTCTGGCTGTAAAAATATGTGGGTGTTGGCCTCAGCAGGACAAACTCCCAGCCTCACAGGAGAGTTCATTGGAGAGACACACAGGGTCCTAGAACATACACAAACCCATCCACCCAAGAATCAGCACCAGAATGGCCCAATTTGCTGGTGGATGGTGGGAGAAGTGACTGAAAGCTGTCTGAGAGCTGAGCAAGTGGCATTGTTCCCTTTCAGACCCCTCCCCCACATACAGCACCACAACACAGCAACTTGGGTTGCTGAGCCCTGGAAAATACCTAAGCCTCCGCCCCATACAATGTAACAGGCATGCCAAGACAAAAATATGGCCCAAATGAAAAAACAGATCAAAGCTCCCAAAATAGAACTAAGTGGTGAAGAGATAGCCAACCTATCAGATGCAGAGTTCCAAACAGAGTTTCCATCCTGGTAATCAGGATGCTCACAGAAATAATTGAGTATGGTCACAAAATAGGGGAAAAGGTGAAGGCTATGCAGAGTGAAATAAAGCAAAATATACAGGGAACCAACAGTGAAAGGAAGGAAACCAGGACTCAAATCAATGGTTTAGAGCAGAAGGAAGAAAGAAACATTCAACCAGAACAGCATGAAGAAATAAGACTTCAAAAAAATGGGGAGAGGTTGAGGAACCCCCGGGATAAATTTAAATGTTCTGACATCCAAATCACAGGGGTGCCAGAAGGAGAAGAGGAAGACCAAGAAATTGAAAACTTAGTTGAACAAATAATGAAGAAAAACTTTCCCAATCTGGTGAAGAAACTAGAAGCGCAAATCCAGGGTGCTCAGAGAGTCTCAAAGAAGTTGGACCCAAGAAGAAACACACCAAGACACATCATTACTACACTACCCAACATCAAAGAGAAGGAGAGAATCTTAAAAGCAGCAGGAGAAAAGGGGACAGTTACCTACAAAAAAGTTCCCATAAGACCAGCAACTGATTTCTCAAAAGAAACTTTGCAGGCAAAAAGGAACTGAAAAGAAGTATTCAAAGTCATGAAAGGCAAGGATCTACATCCAAGATTATTCTATCCAGCAAAGCTATCATTAAGAATGGAAGGGCAGATAAAGTGCTTCCCAGATAAGGTCAAGTTAAAGGAGTTCATCATCACTAAGCTCTTACTATGAAATGTTAAAGGTACTTATCTAAGAAATAGAAGATAAACTGAAGAGTAAAATGACAACAAACTCACAACTATCAACAAATGAACCTAAAAAAAAAAACAATCTAAGCAAACAAACTAGAACAGGAACAGAATCACAGAATTGGAGATCACCTGGAGAAATATCAGTGGGGAGGGACAGGAGGGAAAAGAGAGGAAAAGGTACAGGGAATAAGATGCATAAGTAGTAGGTACCAAATAGACAGGGGAGGTTAAGAATAGTATAGGAAATATAGAAGCCAAAGAACTTATATGTATGACCCATGGACATGAACTAAGAGGGGGGGCAGTGCAGGACAGAAGGGAATAAAGGGGAGAAAAAATGGGACAATTGTAATAGCATAATCAATAAAATATATTAAAATAATAAAATAATCTGTTTCAGAGACTGAAAAAAATTTTTACAGACATTTCTTGATTATTGTATATGTATTTGCAGCTGTTGTTAGACACTAGAGATACAAAGATAAATGCAACTGGCATTGCCTTTAAGGTGTTTTTGATCTAGCTAAGGACACAGATGTGTACGTGGTCTATTAGAATGCCTGTGCTACACTGGTGATATGGATGAAAAGCAACATAGAAACAGAGAAAGGAACTAATAGCTCTGCCAGGATTTCACCTGGCTAAGAGACAGGTAAAGGATGCTCCATGCAGAGGGTCTTGCACAAGCTAATTCAGAACAACATGAAACTGCATGGTTGAGTCAAGGTGCAATGAGGGTCAGTGTGATTGGATCACAGATTCATGGTAGAAACTGCCAAAAGACAAGGCTAGAAGGAAGATTGGGATCTGGAAGAGCCTTATACAGAGAAGATAAGCTTAAATATACACTTTTTCCCAAAAACGATTCAGGGAGTTTACAATGCACAATAAATATAGAAAAAAATAAAGTATAGGAAATACAAGGAATGAAAAATAATGTAAGACCACGAACAGTTTAGTTGTTCACATATAGTTTATGTACAGTTAGTTCTTAGAAGTGAGTCAAAGCCCTGGCCAACATGACTAAGTTGGTTGGGCATCATCCTGGAAACCAAAAGTTTGTGGGTTTGATTCCCAGTCAAGGCACATGCTTAAGTTTCGGGTTCGATCCCTGGTCCAGGTGTGTCCAGAAGACATCACACATCGATGTTTCTCTCCCTCTTTTTCTCCCTCCCTTTCCCCTCTCTAAAAAAAATAAACATATTTTGAAAGAAGTGGGACAAAAATTTGACTCTGAGCTTCCTAGATGCCAAAGTGAAAAAAGAAATGTAAACTTTACTGTGCCCATGTGAAAAAGACAAGTTGTTCAGGAGAAGCAGGCTTCTGCTGGAACTAAGAGCCAAGGCAAATTTCTCCATTGATTCTCATCAAAGGCTCAATGTGGGGAAACAGTGGAGATATCAACAATATCCCTACACTAGCAATTTTTATAGGACTGTTTCTTGTAATGTCCCTCAATGAAAGCCAGTGGCATACTGCCAAGGTGTAATTCAGTAAAAGCAGCTCTACATGGGGCCAGAGCAATTCAGCCAAGCCTGCTGCTTTTTGATTGTTTGGCTTGATGTGCAGATACAATTTAGGGTATCTAGAGGAATAGAAGTTTTTCATATCTTTTAGGCAATCATCCATGAATATAATTTCTTACAACGGGACTCTTAAAAGTATTGGACAGCAGGCAATGAACTTGAGCTTCTATTCATTGGCAGAGACCTCAAGAACAAAGGAGTTTGAACTTTGGGTTATATAACAAAGAAAAGAAACTTTTCCAAACATGTTCAATCATGGGAGGAAATTGGGCATCCCGGACTAGTGGTGCAGTCCCATGGCTCAGCTAAAACTGACCTGGAATTAGGGCTAGGTTGCTAAGTAGAGTGTCCTGACCTGACAGCATGTGTGTTTCTGTGAACTCTAGGTTAAAGCTGGGTGTATAAAGAGCCCTCACATTATACAGGGACAGTTGTCGGCTGGGTATCTTTCGAGATTAAGGCCCTTACTGTAGCAATTGTAGCTGTTATGCAAAGCACAAACCTAGGTCCAAAGGCTGGTGTATGTGTGTGTCTCATTTAGTTTGGTTTTGGTCTCAAAAGGTTTATGGTATTTGCCAAATAGCATCTAAGTGAGAGTGTAATTTTCACCAAATGTAAATAACAAAGATCACATATTTGTATAATTTATTAGATATACTTGACCAGGACTGGTATGATTGTTCTATCACACAGATGAGAAAACTAAGGCTTAATCAAGTTGGCATGGAAATGGGGTGGGAGAACCAGGATTATATCCCAGGTTTTTTTTATTTTAGTACAGTTATTTTTCTACCCTTTTGGGCTCACCTGACTTGCCCAAAAGAATAGTTAATTGTAGGTCATGATTACTAGGCTCATCGACCACCAAGCTACATTAGTGCCTATTGGAAAAAGTTTCTCGACACTGCAGGGGTGGAGGGCTCCCAGCAGTTAATTCAGGAAAAACAATTGATTCCTTAGGCAGGAATGCTAAGGTGGTGCATCAGTGGGAAGACAAGGATTCTCTAGTTCCTGGACCCCTTGGGTGGCCCCTAGCATACACTGGCCAGAAACAATCCAAGGATTTATCCTTTCAACCTTCAGTTACCAAACATACAAAGTGTGTTGCTATATCTGAGTGTGTGGGCATGCAAGATTAATTTCACAAACATTGTAGAAACTTCTAATAAACTTACCTATTGATATTCAATGACCAAATCTTCCCAAAGGTACTTACTCACTGTAAAAATAAAGATAAACTTGAACTCTGTATGTTGTAATAATTGCTTTTCTGAGTATTCTACTTAAGTAAAAATAAACTATTGCTACCTCTTGCTTACTTTTTCATTGAACATCTAACGTGCTAATTCATATTTCACTAACTTTGGTGTGCAGTGCAGAATTTGTGGGTATAGACTTTTCTCTTGGTTCCCCCTGAAAATGCAAAGATAGGAGGTAAAATCCCCACATTGATACCACCACTGGCACAGTACACTACACTGTAAACTAGTGTTCCTAAAGACAGGACTCTCCTCCAGATCAACAAGAACACTTACAACCTGAGGCAGAGGCAGTCTAAAGAGCTGATTCGACATAGTGCCAGTATACCCAATTTATAGCCAGGGAAGAAATTCCACATCTTGGTATGGTAGTCAGGCCTGGTAACTCAATACATGTTGTGTATTCACTAAAAAACTGAGATACTATACTTTTGATGCAATTACTTGCCAAAGGTTCCTCAAAGGAACCTATCCCCAAATCGATCAGAGTAAAATGTTCAAGAATGTTCTTTCCCATTCTCTTCTCTGGGCATACACATTAACACTTCCCCCAACCCCTTTCCACTTGGCACCTGCACACACTCCTAAAATAAGAAGAATATATCATACCCTAAGTCTCCTCCAGTTTAAAGCATTGAGTGTTTGCAGAGACTGGGTTTCTAAGATGAAAGTATCTACTTACCAAAAAGCCTTCTTCTCTCCACTTGTCAGAGTTCATGTTAAGTCACTGAGAACAAGACCCTCTGACAGCCAAACCTGAGACTGGTTTGGAAAACTCATTGTTTAGAAATGACTTTGCAATAAAACTGGAAATTTAGGTTAAAAAAGGAATAAAAGAAAAGAAAAAAAGAGTGAACCAGTTCTTTGTCGACACACACAGCTGCCCGCAGCCACCTGCGGTTACTTCCTGACAAAAACCAGTTTGCTTCTGTGGGGAGGATGTGTGTCCCACCAGGGTGGCAGGCAAGGCGTGTCTCAGTGTGACCTGCTGTTAAACAGTGACAAGGGCACTAGGAAAACAGGGCCTTCTTAACTTTGGGGGACTACAACGTGTGTACTAAATGAGTCATCACCTCTGTTGTCTTTTTAGTCTGAGCACAGAAAAGAGTCATTTGCTGAATGATTCTTAAATTATTTTTGGCTTTAATTTTAACATTTGAATGTTTAGGTATATGAGCTGTATTTTTTTGTGTGTGTTAAAAAGTAGGTTTGTTAAATTTTTCCAAAATAAATTACTAGTTCTTGTAATAGGATTTGTTTTCCACTTTTTACAGAGTCATTGAAATAAAGAACAAACTGACAGTAACCAGAGGAGAGTGGGGAAGGGAAAATGGGGGAAAGAAGGGGAAGAGTCATCAAGGAACATGTGTAAAGGACACATGGACAAAGCCAAAGAGGGATGTGATTCTTGATTCTTAGTGCCTTAAAATACTTAATGAAACGCCTTCAAAACCATTGGGGTTCCAGAGTAGTTTCTGCTTTGAAAGTCTAATTGAAGTTTCTCATCTTGCCTCTTTTTCAGAAATAGCTCATGTGAGGAGAGGAGAGTCGTAAGCCGTCTCTGCTTCTCTAACAAACCAACATTTGGGCAGCAGGACTGGCTTCCCTTGGGAAATGCAGATGTGACTAGGAGCAACTTAGTCCTGCTGCTTAGCCCCCTGCTGGACAAAGCACTTACAGATCCTGGAAATGATTTCAGGTTGAGATGGCATCTTGTGAATTAGGAGTATGGCAGTGTTGTTGCTCAATGTTTTGCTTTTTATTTGTGCTTTTAACATTAAAGAAAAAATTCCATCAGGATCTTATCTTTGGCCTTTCACTTAAAAGAAAAGCCACTCATTAGAAATCTATAGATGAGGTTTGTGGATACTCTGGTGGAAAATGAATTGCATTTGTGGCCTGATCTGTGAGTGATTTTGACCATGAATGAGATTTCCACATCCATTGGTTGGGCTCAGGGATTAGCAATTGTTCAGAAGTTCTGTGCCAAGTTTCCAGCTCCATTCTTCAGGCTTGAGTCTGTGGGTGGCACTGAGTGAGCTTGGTTCTATCAGGTAGCAGGGAATGATTATTCTGAATTAGTGGAAGAAGACTAGGGTTGACCTTTCTTGTGACCTTGTGGTCAGATTTAAGAAGCCCAAAAGGGGCTTTCTGTTACAGTGTCTTGGAGAGTTTCCATTGTAGTATATATAGCACTATCTCATTTTTTTAAATTGCTGCATACAATTCTATATGGCATGGCTGTGTGTGTGACAGAAAGATATATGTATGTATCTTGCCTTTCAAACATTCTTTCCTAATTCTGCCTGAAATAACTCCTTTCCATTACATTGGCTAAAAGTCTATCAATAATAAATTCAATTAAATCAGTTCATCTTTTCAATTGTTATAACCTTGGGAGAGTTGTGGTGAGTTATTCCATCTTCACACTAAATTGTGAATGATGCAGTCAGGTTGCTTTCCTTCTAACATCTGGTTTACCCACTCTCCAGGAGATGGATTGTTTGTTGGAGGAAGAGGTACTTGGGACCAAGGAGAATTGGGAAGGGGGCCACCAACCTGGAGAAGGGAAAGGGTGTTGAGGAGAAAAAAAAGAACAATGCAAAGATGGAGGCAGGAGGACTCCAAAGATGAACTTCTTCCTAGTTGAAAATGTGAACAAAGTTGACCTCGGTGTGGGGAGTGGAGGTGTATGCCCTCCCATGGGTTCCTTGGCCTGAAAGAAAGGGAGCGATGGTAGGCAAGATTTTTATAAGAGCAATCAGTTACCGCAATTGCTGATGTGTCTACCCCTCTTCAAGTGTCCCTGGGAATCAGATTTTGTGGCAGAAGCTGGCTTTAATGTCACATTAATTTGTTGGTAGCCCATCCCTGCCAAGAATACCTTCAGTTGTTTCCCCAGCATGATCTTTTTTAGTCCATGTCTGTGACATACTGTCTCTCAGGCATGCATGGCCACAGGTAGTTAATGAAATGGCTTCATTGTATTAAAACTGGGGTTTACAGACTTTCCTGGATGTGTGGTTGACATCTGGGGAGACCCACAAACGTACAATAACGTGGAGCGAATCTCTTCGTAAAGAGTCGGGTGGTTAATGCCGGCTCCTGCTTGGAAGCCACGTGAGCATGCGCAGTAATGATGGCGCCACGCTAATTAAGACTCAGGGCCAAAAGAGCTATTGCTGATGATCCAATTAGGCAGATTTAGTTAGAGATTACACAGATAACTCTGATTAAGACGTCAATCTAGTTCAATTTTACAGATTTCAATTTAAAATAAAGTGGTTATGACTATAATAAAATAGTATAATATGTAGTTTACTGTGTCTTGCCATTGTAGAAGCTGAGAGCTCCTAACAGCCTTAAAAATGACGGTTTAAGCTTGATTTTTTTTCAAGGTCCAATTATGTAAATGATTGTTACCAAGTTCTTTTTGTTCCTTATCCTTCCTGCTGTTCATTGAGACTGTTTTACAGTTCATTAGCCCCTTGACAAGAAGGCAGAAATGAGACAAGGTGAAAGGCCCACCTGTCTGCCTCACAACAGATCTGTAAACTGTTTTGTGAGGAAGATACTGAAACTATTGGCTAAAACAGACATTTGTGTTCTCCACGAATTAAATTTCCCTTTGATTTACCTAAATCCTCAATCTTGAAAACAACTAATAATTGGATGAACTGAATATTTCTTGACAGTGTAAAAAAATAAAGTCAGAAGGATCCTGCTTTATATGACATTAAGTTCTTATGTAAGGATGTGTAAGGAAAAACACTGATAAACCTAACAACTTAATGAAGGTTTTTTAAAACCACACATGGTTTGTACAGTGATTACACTGAACAAGACGATTATTATTTCACCCTGTAAATGCTATAATAAAGATTCTGCATTTTTCTAGAGCACATTATTTTTAAGAGCTGTGAAAATACACAGTCATATAGGTTGTGTCTGAATTGATGAATGTACCATGAGAAATTGACCAATTCTCAAATATTGCAAAGGAACATCACTGATGTTCCATAGGGATTGCACTATGGCATAGAAGCCTTCAAACATTTCTTAAGTGGGGAGAAGGAAATCACAATGTTTTACTAGTGGAAGTTTCATCATGAGACTTAAACTGGAGGCACAAGATTCTGTGCCTGTTGCACTGAAGCATGGATGGGCAGGTGTGGCTGATGAGAAAGAGGAGATGAGAGGATAAAGAAGAGCAAGAGAAAAGGCAAGTATAAGGGACCTGTAGCCTCCACTAATTTTTTGCTTTTTCTAAGGCACTCCTAGTCACTGCCATATGATAAATTCCCTTTCTTGTCCTGATGCAAGAGAATACCAGCTTAAAGCAGGACATACCTTATCCCCCTTGGAAAAGAAATAACAAATAATTAAGGCCACAGCTCACAGGGACCCACATTTACTGGCAATAAAAGGCAGCTGTGCTGACAACTCTACCAATTAATCTGCCAAAAGTGAGCATGTCACTATGTTAGAAAACAGGACTGGAAACATCCAGGGGTCTCTATAAAACACAGACAACAGTCTTAAAGACCATGGGTAGCAACATGGAACAACCCTTCAGCACAGAAAGTAGACTTACCATTCTTTGCCCAATCAAACTTCTTACCACGTGGCCAATCAAACTTCATACCCTTCAGGCCTGAATCAGGTATATACCCGGCCTCTTCCAGAGGCTCTGCCTCCCTAGAAGAAGCCAGTAGGAACAGGAAAAATTGAGAAATGTTAAATTTTTTGAGCACCTGAGGCACTTTCAGGTATGTTATTTCACTGAATCTTCACAATCACACTACTAGGGAAGTATAAATATCTTAGTTTCTGCAGGTAAGAACACAGAGGCACAGAGCTTCCAAATTCAGGTCTCCCTGGTTCCCATGTCCATTCTTTTCCCATAACAACATGTTTTCCACATGAAGCATCAAGAAATATTTGTGCAAAGCATAGCTGTCATGAATTTATTGTGTGACTTTGGGCAAATTATTTAACATCTCTGGACCTCAGCTTTGTATCTGAAAGGTGAGAGGTTTCTGTTTGTTTGTTTTACAAAACAAAACATACTCTTACCATAAGATCCAGATCTAGCTATTGTGCTCCTTGGTATTTACCCAAAGGAGTTGAAAATTTTTGTCAAATATATTTTATTGATTATGGTATTATAATTCTCCCAATTTGTCTCCCCTTTATCCCCCTCCACACCGCACCCCCCCAGCCCTCCAGCATTCACCCCCCTAAGTTCATGTCCGTGGGTTGTACATATAAGTTCTTTGGTTTCTCCATTTTCTATATTATTCTTAATCTCCCCCTGTATATTTTGTGCCTACCATTTATGCTTCTTATTCCATGTACCTTTTCCCCCTTCTCCCTCCTCCCCCTCCCCACTGATAGCCCTCCATGTGATCTCCATTTCTGTGATTCTGTTCCTGTTCTAGTTGTTTGCTTAGTTTTTGTTTGTGTTTTTTAGTTTAAGTTGTTGATAGTTGTGAGTTTGTTGTCATTTTACTGTTCATAGTTTTTGATCTTCTTTTTCTAAGATAAGTCCCTTTAATATTTCATATAATAAGGGTTTGGTAATGACGAACTCTTTTATCTTTACCTGGGAAGGACTTTATCTGCCCTTCCATTCTTAATGATAGCTTTGCTGGATAGAATAATCTTGGATGTAGGTCCTTGCCTTTCATGACTTTGAATACTTCTTGCCAGCCCCTTCTTGTGCCTGCAAGATTTCTTTTGAGAAATCAGCTGATAGTCTTATGGGACCTTCTTTGTAGGTAACTGTCCTCTTTTCTCTTGCTGCTTTTAAGATTCTCTCCTTCTCTTTGATGTTGGGTAGTGTAGTAATGATGTGTCTTGGTGTGTTTCTTCTTGGGTCCAACTTCTTTGAGATTCTCTGAGCACCCTGGATTTACATTTCTAGTTTCTTCACCAGATTGGGAAAGTTTTTCTTCATTATTTGTTCAACTAAGTTTCAATTACTTGGTCTTCCTCTTCTCCTTCTGGCACCCCTGTGATTTGGATGTCAGGACATTTAATTTTATCCCGGGAGTTCCTCAACCTCTCCCCATTTTTTTGAAGTCTTATTTCTTCATGCTGTTCTGGTTGAATGTTTCTTTCTTCCTTCTGCTCTAAACCATTGATCTGAGTCCCAGTTTCCTTCCCTTCACTATTGGTTCCCTGTGTATTTTCCTTTATTTCACTTTGTGTAGCTTTCATTTCTTCCTTCATTTAGTGACCAAACTCAATAATTTCTGTGAGCATCCTGATTACCAGTGTGCTGAATTCTGTATCTTATAGGTTGTCTATCCCCTCATCGGTTCTTCTTCTGGAGTTTTGATTCGTTCTTTCATTTGGGCCATATTTCTTTGTCTTGGCATACCTGTTACACTGTAAGGGACGGACCCTTAGGTATTCATCAGGATAGGACATCCCACTTCACTGCCTTGGGATGCTGTATGTGGGGGAGGGATCAAAGAGGGAACAATGCCACATGCTGGGCTCTCACCCCACTTTCCATCACTTCCCTCACTTCCCCCTAGTGGATTGTGCCCTTTAGGGTGCTGATTCCCAGGTGAGTAGGCTTGTGTATGTTGTAGGACCCCATGCGCTGTTCCAACAGACTCTCCTGTGAGACTGGGAGTTTCTCCCTCTGCCACAATCCCCACAGGTTTTTACAGCAAGACTTTTTGAGGCTTTATTTCCCTCATGCTGGACCCTGGGTTGCCTGGTTTGTCTTGCTCCCCAGTTGTTCCTCCCAGCTTATCTGCATGCAAATGTGGGAAATCCTGACCACCAGCTGCTGCCTTGCCTGTGTCTTTTCTGCTGGCTTCCTGTCTCCTCCCCTCCTACCAGTCTGGATGAATGTTTCTTCTTTAAATCCTTGGTTGTCAGACTTCCATGCAGTTTGATTTTCTGGCAATTCTGATTTGTTTTTGTTTTAAATTGGTTGTTATCCTTCTTTTGCTTGTGTGAGGAAGTGAAGTGTTTCTACCTACACCTCCATCTTGGCTGGCTCAGGAGCTGAAAATTTATATCCACACAAAAACCTTCACATGGATGTTCATAGCAGATTTATTCATAATTGCCAAAACTTGGAAGCAACCAATAAGTGAATAGGTAAACTGTAATACATGCAGACAATGGAAAATTATTCAGCACTCAAAGAAATGAGCCATCAAGCCATAAAAAGACATAGAGCCCTGGCTGGTGTGGCTCAGTGGACTGAGTGCCAGCCTGCAAAATGAAAGGTCACTGGTTTGATTCCTGGTTATGGGACATGCTTGGGTTGTAGGCCAGGTCCCCAGTCAGGGGCACATGAGAGGCAACCTATCAGTGTATCTCTTGCACATTGATGTTTCTCTCCCTCTCTTTCTGTCTCCCTTCCCCTCTCTCTAAAAATATATAAACTTAAATAAAAGAAAAAAGACATAGAGAAAACTTAAATGCATGTATTACTAAGTAAAAGAAGCCAATCATAAAAGGCTATATGCTGTATGATTCTGACTGTATTACATTCTGGAAAAGGCAAAACTATGTAGAACAGTGCAAAGATCAGTGGTTGTCAGGGGTTGGGGGTGAGGGTGAATAGTCAGAACACAGAGGATTTTTAGGGCCATGGAACTACTCTGTGTGATACTGTAATATATATCATATATATGTGGATATATATCATACATTTGTCCAAACCCATAGAATGTACAACACTAAGAGCGAACTGTACTGTGACCTAGGGACTTTCAGTGATTATGATCTGTCAGTGTAGGTTTATCAGTTGTAAGAAAGGTACCACTCTGGTGGGAGAATTTGATAATGGGGAAGCTATGTACATATGGGGAAAGAAATAGATGGAAGCCTCTGTACTTGCCCTTCAATTTTGCTGTGAACCTGAAACTTCTCTTTAAAAAAATTCTTAATTTTTTTAAAAATAACAGGATAGAAACTCTAATATCTCCTTCAAAGTGGTTTTCCAACTCTAGCGAGCATAGGGATCATTTGAGGATTTTGTAAAAATGCTGATTCTGAGTCGGTAGGTATAGGGAGAGGCCTGAGATTCTGCATCTAACAAGTTTCCAGGCAATTCTGATGCTGCTGGTGCAGACAGCACTTTGAGTCTGGAGGTCTCACAGCATTCTCATGCTGGACTCCAGCATGGCAGCAACCATGTCCTAGCATTTCAGTCATTGCGACATACCCACATTTGATGAGGTGCCTGTTGGTATTCAATGTTAGATACACTGGATCTAGTTAGTACAGAAAAAGTAGCTCAAAGGGACATGGTAGAAGACAAGTTTGTAACTCTAGCTACTCAATGGTTCTGCAGTTCTCTGAAGGAATGGGCCTTCTCCCCAACCCCGACCCCTACCCACAGCAGGTTCCCTAGTAATCTTAAATTTCTCCACTGGTGGGCTTACCCACTCTAACTTTATCCCCAGCTCACTCCAATGGACATCCAAAATGAGATCAACCTTAAAGGACATCTGGTAAATACCATTATGAAGCACGTTCCTCTTCCAAAGATTTTATTTATTTTGCAGATTAAATCACATCCTCCCCACATACATTATGACATATAAAGTTTCTTCCTCCACTCCAACACCCCTCTTTGTTCTAGTAACCAATGCCAGCACTTTATTAGCTGACTGTGGTAGCTAGCTCCATGCATTTTTCCCTGAGCAGTGGAGTTACTACACGGAATGGTTGCAGAGGCCAGAGGCCAGATTTTCATTATCTCTGTGGGGAAACATATTTATAAATTCAAGACAAAAATATGGCATGAATTCAAAATTTCTTTCTGTATTTTTTAAATCCCATTTTAAACCACTTGTTTAGAGTTGGATCTAATTAGAGTACTTCAGAAATAAGGGCTTACTGTGTTGAACCTATAAAGAAGTGGATGCAATTTTTTTTAACCTGATCTTTCTTCTAATGCCCAAAAGGACAACACTACGTATTTTTGTACAACTGTCGAGGGACAAAGGCAGCTCCAGATATTTGACCTAGATAAACAGATTACCATTCACTTCATCTGGAAATATAGGGATAATTAACTTGGACAACCATATAAACAACAGGGGTCTCCTCCAGAGTGTCTGCCTTCTTAAATCGGCAGATAGCCTCCTAGAGAGCTGTCACAGCGAGGCCATTCAGTATAGCTGCTTTTTATTGCTGTATTTTGAATTGTTCTAATGAACTGTGTGGTACTGTGGAAAGAACTTTTGGGCATTTCAGTCTTCTTGGGTTTATTCCTATGTCCCAGCCCACTCATGTTCATCCATTTGGTAAGGTTTATAATGGATTTGTTCTCCTGAGTTAAACAAAATTTTTTCTTCATTGTGCAAAGTTGGTAATTTAGTCCATTAGCCCCTGGAATCAAAGACACCTGGAATCACAGAGTTACACCAGACCTGAAAGGTCATCCAGCCTAATCCCTGTCTGATGCCTGATTTTCCTTTACACAATTTCTGCCCAATGGGGCCTCACACCACTCTGCTCACAGGCATTCAGCTAGGGGTTTTAAATTCCTCAAGGCCTCCTAGTCTTTGAAGAATTCTCCTTGTTAAGGAAATTCTTCCTGAGATTGAGCAGAAATCCGTTTCTCTCTAGTTCCCACCCTTTGATATCAATGCAAGGAAAACAATTTCCTCTTACACATGACAGAGCTTCAGATATCTTAAGTACCAATTATACTCTTC